GCGGTGACCGACAGTCACCGCTCACTGCAGGGAGATGACCGGGAAGCGAGTGGATCAGCAGGATGTTTCTGCTCAATTCCTGATCGATAGAGTCGACCTGTGATGTCTTTGTCACAGGTCGGCTCTAACTATGAGGATGAGTGGAAATCCCTCATCTCATAGCTCTCCTTTAACTAACATCAAAGGGGAAATTAGACCAGCCAATCAGAAATCCTTTCAGTGTTAGTGAATGGCACTAAACTGTATATGAATTCAGAGCCTGAAGTGACTTAGGAATCAGAGACATGAAGAGAGACACATAGTTGCATACAGTATATAGTATAGATTGGAAATATATGCTGGGTGGAGTGGGGCCTTATGGAGCCTTTGTCATCTGAGGTCTAAATATTTTATTTTGATTATTACTGTTTCTGTTCATTTGTTTTTGGATTAAACACTTCTCTCTGCCCTGCAATCTGGCTGTTAAGCAGTAAACAGGGGGGTTAATATTTGAACATCCCATGGCACACCCAATAAATAAAGTGTAGTAGTGAGAGGCTGGGGGTAGTGATTCAGTCTGTGCTGAGATTGAGAGCTGACCAAACAGTCCAGTGAACAGCCAGAAGGCTAAAGGCTTTGTTGCGGTTTTGTCTTCTAAAAAACTATGCAAGGAGGAACTTTGATGCTTGTTTTATTTTGTGAACAAATAAAAGCAGACAAGAAGCCCTTAACCCTTTCACAGCCAAAGCCATATTTGCACGCATTTTAAAATGCACATTTTAGGCCTGAAAATTACTTAAACTTGCATATATTTCCTAAAAAGCAGAGACCCTGTAAAATAAAAAGGTGGTAGTTTAATAAAAAGGGGCAGTGGTGCCGGGACGACATGGAGGGGGGTAGAGCTGCAGTTAATCGATTTAGTCGATTAAAATCGACGATTGAAAACGTTGGCAACGTTTTCGAAGGTGTAGTGCACATGTCAGAGCCCCAGGAAGCCATCAGGTAGCTTCATAGCCGCCTGAATCACTTCCAATGTAAAGCCAACAGTTGGCTTTATGCATGTAAACCCACTACTGGATGAAATAGCAGCCGGGACTCTGCTTAAAGGGGCCCGCTGCTGCCAAGATATGACACATGTCGGCAGCAGCAAAAGGGTTAAATGAACTTTGGTATCTGGACTACCTCTCTTCAAGCCCTATATTTGAAGCTGGTCCCATACAATTGGTGGAGAATGCAGGCACAATTGGTCTTAAGAAGATTGCATTTTAAGGTATCACCGTAGACAGGACAAGACATCAAGGTTTTTTCCACAACAGAATACAAATTACCTCTCTTGTCACATGTCAAGATTCCTGTTCCTCCTTAGTGCTGGAGACACACCAGTACCTGGACTTTGTCCCACAGTGTCTAAATCAGGAGACCTTAGCAGGGAATAATCCCGTGTTGTAGGAGGAACCACCTGTTCTGGAATCCCATCATATAGCCTAGGAGATGAGTTTTCTCCAAAAAAAAAAAAAAGGATCTTCCCCCGGGTCAGGAACTACCTGTTCCTCAGAGGAAGATGAGTTAGTCAGATCAGGAGCTAGACCCAAAACACAGGGGAGGGGTAAGATCATCTGAGAGGGGATGGAATAGAAAGGGGTGCTGCGGAGAAGAAGGCCACTCAACACCTGACTTTCCTGCAACAGATGAGACAAAGACCTTCCTGACTAATGAAGAGGGACATGAGAGCAAATATGCTGAGGACCCTTCTACTAAAGAACCATATTTGTTTAAACTGCCTGCAAGCAATAAAGGTCCCAGTACCAATTGCTGATAAAATGTTTCGCAGAATTGTAACGGCACTAAGCCCATCAGGGAGGTGTTGCCCACTAGGACATGTGGTGACTCTTTTCTCCACATGAGGTCGCCTGAGCATTCTACAATGGAGATACCATGAAAAGGCCTTAGGGCAGACACTGAAGCCAACCCACGGGTACACACCAGGCATGCAGGGGTGACAGTAATGAGTCAGAGCCTTAGTAGGACGGTAAACAGCCACTGCTGACCATACAGGTCAAAGTGTCCCTCTGAGTAGGGACCAGAATGGTGAATCTGATCAATATCAAGCACCACTGCAGGCCAGCAAGTGCTGGGGGGGTCCAGAACCCCTTGGGTGCTTTCAATCCTTCGAGGAATACCTCAAAGAGCAGGTGCAGTAGGAATGTCTTTGCAGGTGTGGGAACTCTGAAAGACCTGAGGCAGCAGGCTGATCCTCCAGATGCAGAGTAGTGGGTACTGCATCAATAAGGGACAAAATGGTCTTGAAAATCTGAGCTAATGTGAGAAGACTGTGATTCCTTAAAATAAATCTGATTAGAAAGAGACTCAGAGGACCCTTAATTCAATGGCACAGCCTCTTCTATTTTTGGGTGTATCCTACTTTCATATGTCAGCTTATATATCCCTTTTCGATTGTAAGTCCTCAGGGGCAGGGCCCTCCTTGCCATCTTGTCTTGAATTGTATTGTGATTGTAATGTCTTCCCTATATTGTAAAGCGCTGCGCAAACTGTTGGCGCTATATAAATCCTGTATAATAATAATAATATAGCGGGAGACAGCAATAAATAAGTGGTATCCAGGAGGATAATCTCATAGGCTGTTTTTTTCCAGCCCAGCAAAATACATTTGTTATTTCAAAGTGCACTGTGATCATACACAAAACTAACTATATAACTAAATATACAAATAAAGTGACAATAAATGTCCATATAAATTGTGTTAATTAATGTGTTAATAATCAAATACAGTACTTCACTAACACTTGATGGGATCAGTTCAGAGATTTTCCCCTCTGAAGGACTTTTATCAACAATTTTCTGTTCAGAATTCCCCTCAAGTTAACATATACATAGAGAAGACAGAATCTCCACAGTGTAAAACCGCAGCTATTCAATGAATAAAACAAAGTAAAAACTCACTCATGGAAATGTACTATTACAGAACTACATATATCTGCTGTGGGTGCCCTTCTCACCGCTCAAGCCTTGTGGCAGAAGCGCTTCTTGAGCGCTACTCAATGTGTTCCGCATATCTCCTCTCCTCTCTCAGAATACCTTTAAGCATATAAATTGTCTTTTCCTAATCGACCACAAGATGTCATCATCATATCCAACCCAGCAGTACAGTGCAGGCAGCTTTTTGTCTCTTTGCATTAATGTCCTACTGAGAGACAGAGGCGGCTCTAGACTTTGTGAGGCCTTAGGCGAAACTCAAAAACGTTCCGGTCCATGTGCTTGCAGCATTTTTGCTGATCGCACTGGACCGGAACGCATGCACTAATGTGTCACACGTTTGGGTGCCGGCGATCGCAATGCGGGCAGGGAGTGTGACTGCGGTGCCATTGAGTTCAATGCACCACCACTCCCCCTCCCACCGCAAAACAAAGTGAACAGGCCGGGTTGCGTTCCAGAGGCCGAACGCACTGGAATGCACTCCTTATGGTGGAACTGGGCCCTTGGGGCTTGTGCACACCAAATGCAGTGCATTCCAGAGCGGTAGCTGCTCACAAAACTTCCCCCTGCGATTGCGGCACCCGAATAAGTGACATATTATTGTCTGCTTCCGGTCCAGTGCAATCTGCACAAAATAGTGCATGCAGCATTTTTGCAGATCGCACAGGACCGGAACGCATGCACTAATGTGTCACATGTTTGGGTGCCGGCGATCGCACTGCGGGCGGGAAGCGTGGCTGTGGTGCCATTGAGTTCAAAGCACCTCCACGCCCCCTCCCACCCGTAGACAAAGTGAGCTGGCCGTGTTGCATTCCAGAGGCTAAACGCACTGGAGCGCACTCCTTATGGTGGGACTGGACCCTTAGGGCTTGGGCACACAAATTACGGTGCGTTCCAGAGCGGTAGCCGGTAGAACGCACCACAATCGCTCACAAAACTTCCCCCTGAGTTCTGGGGTGTGGAGGGGGCGTGGCGGTGCATTGAAGTCAATGGCACCGCAGACACATCCCCCTCCCGTAGTGTGATCGGACGCGTGACAAAACATTGCCTGCGTTCTGTTCCACTGCAAACGCAAAAAATGCTGCTTGCTCTATTTTTTGCGTTTGCAGTGGAACAGAACGCAGGCAATGTTTTGCCGTGCATCTGATCGCACTGCGGGCGTCGGGGGGGTGGGGGGGTTGCGGCGCAGAAGCAGTGCCATACCCGCCCCCGAACGCAGGGGGAAGTTTGGTGAGCGATTGCAGTGCGTTCCAGCAGCCACCACTCTGGAACGCATCGCAATTGGTGTGAAAGAGCCCTTAGACACTGTGAATTCCTTTTTTTTTTGCTACCCTGTATTTTTTTTATATTTACAAAGTGCAAAAAATACTAATAATTCAGAAATAAATGAAAAGGTAAAGAAAAAAAAAGAAAACAGGGGTGCTTCACTAACCTGAACTCCTGATCGAGGGGTCAACTCCCTGTGTCCCTCCGGTATCAGCCTCCTCCGATTCCACCGCTGGCTGCTGCAGGAGCGGAAGGGCACGACACCCCGCGCGGGCTCTCTCCTCTCTCTGCAGGAGAGGATGTAGGAACTGGCGGAAGTAGTTCCGGCCGCCAGTACTAGCAGGAGAAACCGCGACGGAGGACCCGCCGTGCGGATTCTACTCTGCAAGTGACAGATCCGGGGGGGTGGGGTGTCGGTGCGGTACGGAGGCTGCGGGGGGAATTGCCGGAGCCCCATTCTCTCCGTGAGGAAATCGCTGCTCCCTCTGCTCAAGGGCTGAGTCAAGTGAGGTGGAGCTGTAGTGGAGGCGAGTTAGGTGGCCACGAGGCCCTCATGAGCGCGAGGCCTAAGGCGACCGCCTAACTTGCCTAATTAGAGAGCCGCCTCTGCTGAGAGAGATCCCAGGTGGAGGTGTGTTAGAGATAGTATATCAAAAAGACACAATTATTGCCTGCAGCTCCAGAACATTGAAGGACAATCTGGATTCTGCCCTAGTCCACAGGCCATGAACTGCCTTGGTCTGCGGTGACAGGTAAAATACCCTGTCCAGGGACCCCGGAAGCCTGTCCCAGTACAACAGAATTTCCTGTTGCAGGATCTGGGTGTGATGTTGACTGAAGGGAATGGCTTTGAAAGAGGCTACCATCAGACCCAGCACCTGCACATAGTGAAGACCACTGACGGTTGCACAATTGACAACCATTAGTCTGAAGTTTAAGAAGCTTCTCTGGAGGTAGAAAAACGTTGGCTACCCCAGAATCTAGCCGAAGAGATGGAACCAGTGCTGAATTCTGGAGATTCAGAATCCAGCCAAATTCCAGAGTCTAAACTGTAGCCGACAGATTGATCTCCAGATCTCCCAAAGCAGTGACAGGCAGAGGGGTGGGCAAGAAGACCCCACTAAAGGGCCGCCTGCAAAACCTTGCGCCCCAGTCAGCATCCGCAGATGTCAAAACAAACAGCTTATAAAACTTGGCAAAGGTGTGAACAGAAGACCAAGTAGCGGCCTTAAAAACCTGAGAAACAGAGGCACCATGGCAAAAGCCCAAGATGCCCCAACTGCCCTAGCAGAATGGGCAGTGACAGGAAAAAATGGCATACGATTGAACAAGCATGCTACGAATCCATCGAGAGATGGTAGCCAAAGACGTGGCCCCGACCTTCCGTAACTCAAACAAAGAAACCGACTCACGGAAGAAAGCCGCATCCTCCATATAAACGCGGAGAGCGCGAACCACATGTAAACAACGCTCTCTCCATCGATGAACGGGCTTCGGAGAAGGTAAGACGACGTCCTCTTGCAAATGAAACGCTGAAACCACCCGAGGTAGGGAGGACGGCCGTGGACGCTGAAAAACCTTGTCCCTATGGAGGACCATTAACGGCGACCTGCAAGACAAGGTCGCCAACTCTGAAACCCTGCGAAAGGAAGTAAACGCCACCAAAAAGGCCCCCTTCTGGGACAGACTCAAAGCGGGAATTCCCTCAACGGTCCAAATGAGGACTCCAGCAACACTGAAGCACCAATGCCAGATCCGAAGGCGACCAGGGGGACCGAACAGGATGAACATTATGTGTAATCCCCTGAACAAAAGTGTGAACCAAGGCAGTTGACACCAATGGTTGCCGAAAAAGAACAGCCAGGGCAGAACCTGGCCTTCCACCGAGCGTAAGGCCAAACCATGACCTACCCAAGTTCTAGCAGAAACAAAGTAGGCCTCCTACGTGCGATGGAAAAACTTTAGAAACAAAAACGGCTTAGCGAGCCCCAAGCATCGTGGAGAAATCTGCATGAAAAACCACGAGCCTTCAACACCTGGCTCCCAACAGCCATGCCGTTAAAGCCAGCGATGGTAAAGAAGGTTGGAACACAGGGCCCTGGGACAGAAGATCAGGACGAAGCGGCAGCCGCCAAGGAACGTCCGCGACCAACCGAACCATGTCCGCGTACCATGCTCACCTCTGCCAACCAGGGGCCACGAGGATGCCGTCGGCCGCTATCCTGCGCAGAAGATGCAGAAAATTATACAGTAGAGGAAAGGCATAAATCAGACCATACCGGTCCCACGGGGTCACCAGGGCATTCACTGCCGCCGCCCAGGAAACCTGGGACCAGGCTAAGAACCGATCGCCAATGTGGTTGAGACGAGACGCCAGGATACCCACATCCGGCGTCCCCCAGCGAAGGCAGATCTGATTAAAGATCTCCAGGCACAATGACCACCCCCCCAAGTCCATCGACTGGCGACTGAGATAGTCGGCCTGCCAACAGTCCACACCCAGAATATACACCACAGAAAGAGCCGGAACATGCTCTGCAGCCCAGGAGAGAATCTCGGCCACGCTACTTGAGCCGCCTAGGTGGTTGATGTAAGCCACTGCCGTGGCATAGTTCGACTGAACCCGAACCGACAGGCCCTGAAGACGGCCCGACCAACGATGGAGAGACAGCCGAATCGCCCAAAGCTCCAACACGTTGATGAACAGACAAGACACCAACGACCTTGCACAGACCAAAAATGCAACTTTGCCTGTGTAGGCAAAATTCTTGCACCGGCCCTGTCCTTGATGTCGATAGAAGCCAGCAGATCCCCCCGGACGAAGACCCGCCACCATGAAGCTGATGGGATTCAATCCAGAACCTGCGGACCCGCCCCCAAAAAAACGGTGGAATTCCCTCTATCTTGAGTACAGTAAACAGGTTTGAATAAAAAAACCTATGAACCTCCCGAGGAGGGCACCGGAACAACCTCCCCTTGAGGCAAGCTGTGCGCCACTGCGCGGTGAAAAAACGTGAGCCGTTGCAGAGGGAGATGCGGGTTGGAAGGAAAAAACCCATCCCCATGACAAGACAGAAACTGTCTCGTAGCCCGAAGAGATCAGCTCCCGCACCAAAGGCCCACAACAGCCGAAGATGCCCCCGCACCCTGGAAACCAGAAGCGGGGGGAGACCTTCATGTGGAAGGGGTTACCTGGGAGGCTTGGGAGACTTAGACTGCCAGGCACGCTTGGAGGCCCTGGAAAGGGAAGGCTTGGAGAACATTCTGCCCTTCTCCGAGGACGGAGGGGCCGAAAAGGTCGCCCATGAGCGGAGAAGGAAGGACCGGGCTTCCGACATCGTCCCTTAGGCTTCCTAGCCTGCGGCAGAAAAGAACTCTTACCTCCCGTCAGATTCTCAATGGTCTCATCCAGCGTAACCCCAAATAAGCGATCCGCTGTGAAGGGAAGCTCCTGCAAAGCCTTCTCGGAGGCCTGATCAGCCGACCAGCACTCAAGCCAAAGCAGGGGACGAAGCGCAACTGCCGAAACTGACAGTTTTGACACCACTGGCGCAGCAACCAAGGCCGAGTCGCAAACACATTCCAGGCCCCGCACCCACTGTCAGCCCAGCTCACTAACAGCTGGGGATACGGTCCCCCTAGCAAGACCCTGATGTAACATTCTCCCCCATTCTGACAAGGCCTGAGAGACCAAGGCCAAGCCCAAAACCAGGCGCATGAAAGTATCCGAGACGGAAGACAGAGGCCGCAAGACAGCCTCCGCCTTCCTACCAGTGGGATCTCGAAAGGAAGAAGAATCTTCCACCGAAACAACAGTAGTAGTGTCCAGTCATGAGACCGTAGGATCCACCGCCAGAGGAGCTGCCCACCTAGATAGAATAAAAACCTCTTCAAAGGATAGAGAAGAGAGAAACGCTTGGGTACCGAAAAGGACCCGTTGGTCGCTTCCACTCCATGTAAATTAAATCGCCAAGAAGGAAATGTAGAGGAAGACCCCAGTGGAGCGCCCACTCTTATGCGTCCCAAACCAAACCGGGAGCAGCACGGAAGAGCTCGGAGCAGCCTCAAGCTTGAGTGCCTCCCTGGCTGAACGGACAAGCGCAGAGGTTTAGGAGAACCAGGAGAAGAACAAGGTTCGGCCTCACCTGGAGTATGCGGTGCAGTTTTGGGCACCGGTACACAGAGGGGATGTCCTTGAACTCGAGAAAGTCCAGCGAAGGGCGACCAAACTCATCAAAGGGATGGAGGACCAGAGCTTTGAGACACGGTTACTAAATTTAAATATGTTCACGCTGGAACTAAGATTAAGGGGGGACATGATTTTCATGTACAAAATGTTCCATAGTCATAGCAACATTAGCAACAAACTCTTTACGATTAATTCCGTAACAAAGACTAGAGGACACCACCTAAAACTGGTAGAAAAAAAATTCAAACACAAGGGGCGAAGGGGATTCTTCTCAGTTCGCGCGGTTAGGGTCTGGAACTCACTGCCACAAGCAGTGATTTCAGCTAATAGTCTGGAATCATTCAAGAGGCTTTTGGACGATTTCCTGAGAAATGGTAATATACAGGGGTACAAGTACTCCTAAAAACGAGATGACTCGGGGATCTTTACACACACACACACACACACACACACACAATAGGTTGGACTTGATGGACATGTCTTTATTCAACCTCAAATACTATGTAACAAAGGCGTACAAACAGTGCACAGAGGTAAGCAAAGGGCATCCCCACAGGGGCGCCCACAACCCACGCCTGACAACGCAGCAAACCCGTGCCGAGCTGGCTAGGCCGCAAGCCGGGGACCACATTTTTGGCCACGGGCGACACACGTGGCCCACTGCGGTGATCCGTTACGCAGCACCGCTGACAACCACAGCCAAAGCCGAGCGGAGGAGGCCTACCACCCATGTCCCGCTAGGCCGCAAACTAAATTTTTTGGTCGCAAGCCGCACACGCAGGTGCGACCATGGTGGTCCACTGCCCAGCACTGTAGGCCACAGCACGCCAGCACTCACACCAGGGTCCACCCCTCAACAGGGAAAGCCCTTCCCCTCTAGGCCACAAACCGGGGACAAAAGTAGCAGTCGAGCCCTGCGGCCTGCTACAGGCCTGGACCCCACCAACCTCCCTGCACAGGTCTCCGTCAGACCACCAGCCAACATACGTACCTTCTAGGGGACGCAGGAGAAGTCCCTATAAAGCGCAGACCGCACCAGTAAACTGGGATCGTCAGCGCCAAGCATGCAAACAACACCACAGCAAATACCAGGGTACTGCAGGGATGGCGAATCGCCACCTGACCATAGCTGGGGCGCCGCCTGCCTGTGAAGGATACTGTGACTGGGCAGCCGAGACCCCCAGTCATATGCACCCCACCGGGAAGACTCCCACAGGCCACTGTCAGATCGAGTAGGCGCAGCCGACTCTCTGGAGCAGAGTCTGCATACGCTCGCAGGCCAGACTGTGTCAGACTACAAGGATCTATGCTCATCCAGCGTGTCACCCAGCCGGCAGTTGCTTGAAGATTCAACCAAAAACAAAGGAAAAAGTAAGAATCCCAGAGAAAAAATTCTTAGCTCCTTACTCTAGGCACAAAACTGGAGACTTGTCAGAATGTGGGGGGTTTGGCCACCAGCAAGGGCCGCCCCTAGGCTGTCTTAGTCTTTTGTTTTTGCCTAGCGTCCTTCTCCTGCAGGTAGCGATATTACCCTACGGTACATGATCTACGATCTGCTCCCTGTGTCCTTCAATGAACAGAAGATAAATCCCCTGAATCTTTTGGACAACGGAACCAGAAGAATCACTCCCAATCAACTAGTGCCTGAACCACAAGATGTAAATCTTCCAACTGCTGAGAACGCCACAGACTGGAAGCAAAAAAACACTCTGGAGGACAAGTGTGAAAGTTAATCCTATAACCTGACTAAATCACCCCCTGAATGCATTTGCCCACTACCAATAGTCTGCGAACAACAGGAGTCCCCCCCACCTTGGGATGTCTGGGTGGGAGTGCATACAATATTCCTGTGTCATATTTAATTCTACTGTGGTTCAGAAGATGGCTCTCATGTCAGAGGTCTGGTGTTACCTTAGAAATTCACAAGATGGCACCAAAGGCTAACCTACCACTATTAGTAGCATAGTTAGGTCCTACACTCATGGGCATTGTTTAGCCATAGCCTGTGAACAGTAGTTGGAATAGGTTTGTGTTCAGCCATTTTAAACATTTAAAAGTGATCGTTTTGCATAAGAGCAAACACAAGATACCTGCAATTACCTCAAATATCAAACTCTGCTCTGTATGCTTCTTTCAAAGTATCACTCCAGCCAAGTTTTGGGGGGGGCAAAAGTTTAAAGTGGAACGCCAGGAATTATTCTTTTTTAAGATAACAAGTGAAAAACATTACCCCTAATTAAGAGGATGTATGCTAGGTCCGGAGCGCTGCTGGTTACTGTACAAGTAACAGTTTCATTCATGCCAGATACTAAACACAGCACTCTTAGAGTGCTGCAACTGATAGTTCCAGTTCTTGTACAGTGAGGAGATGGAGTTGTTTACACTCACATTCCTCTCCCCTCCAGCAGTCACAAAACTCATTGAAAGGAATTTATCAAAACTGGAGCAGCTGTGCACAGCAACCAACCAGCTTATCTTTCATTTTCAAATCTTAACTAAAAACAAACTGGAGAGAAGCTGATTGGTTGCCATGGATAGATTCAGTCAGCTCCAGTTGTAAATCCCCCTCCCCATTCTGTTCACAGAATACAAGGCATTTTGTGAATGGACAAAGGAAGAGGGGGGGGGGGGGGGGAGGGGATATTTACAAAACACCTTGTATTCTGTGAACAGAATACAAGGCATTTTGTGAATGGACGAGGGGAGGTGAAAGGGAGTGTAAACAACATGATTCCTTCCATGTAAGAGAGCCAAAACCATCAGTTACAGTGATGTGCATAATATCTGGAACAAATGAAAATGTGATTTGTAAAATATAAGCAGCACTCTGGTCCTAGCATACTCTTCTTTAGAGGTAACTTATTTCACATGGAGTTCCACTTTAAGTTATCATTAGGTAATCATGCCACTTTACATTATCGTCTCAGTCAGGTTTTTTTTTTTTAACCAAGTGCCCGGGACCAGCATATGGCCTCTGTCACGGGATCAGAGGGAGCTCGGTACACGAGCTCCCTCCGGTCCCCTCTTCTCTGACAGAATGTGGAAGTGATGTATATTACATCACTTCCGCATTCTTGTGTCACTCTCCAGCTTCAGACGCTGGAGAGAAGCTGATAAAGTAGATCTCTGCTTCATCAGGGGGGGTCCTAGGTGACATTAGGGGTCTTGGAGACCCCTGATGTCTCCATAAAGAGGACCTGCCACATCTTTTGCTATCACATAGAGGGGTTTCTTAGCCCGCCATTTGTGATAGCAATAAAGTTAAGTGAAAAAAAAAACAACAAATAGGAAAAAAAATTAGTTTCCAAAATAAAATTAAAGTCACACATAAAAAAGAATTTAAAAAAACAAAAAATTTTTTTTAAACGCCCCCACCCATACATACACGCATGCGTCAGGTGCGCATACCTGCGAAAAAGATGATTGCGCCCATTACGCCGCACATGTTACATATATCGCCGTGAACGTTGCAGTGAGAGCGATAATTTTAGGGCCATCATTCACTAATAACACTAAACTGATGAGCGGTAAAAGCTTTTAAAGTGTCGCCTATGGTCAATTTGGGGTATTGTAGTTTTTTGGCGATTTCGCGGGTGTGCGCAATTTTTAAGCTTGACATGTTTGGTGTCTATTTACCTGACGTGACCCCGTCTTTTATATTTTACCAAAAAAATGGGTAATAATAATTGTTTCCTAACGTAATGTAAAAAACTTTTTTTCTAAATTTTCAGTTAATTTTCTGAAATATAGAAAAAAATTAAAACCCGCAGTGGTGAATAAATACCACCAAAAGAAAGCTCTATCTGTCCCCCAAAAAATGTTATAAAGTTCATTTCAGTACAGCGGTGCATGACGGAATAAATGTCAAAGCGCTGAACACTGAAAAATGGCCTGGCCAGGAAGGGGGACTAAACACCTGGTCTTCAAGTGGTTAAACTACCATCTGGTTGGGAGATGTGTCTAGGACAGGATGCTTTGTATGGAAATTTCTGCTAGTTCACCATTCTGTGAGAATTCAGCAATGAAGGGGTTTACCCCACGTAAGTTTCATTCTCCCCTCTCCAATGCTATACAGGTGAAACTCGAATACGAGTGTACACCCCATAAAAGAGGGCGGGGCCTGTGTCCTTCAATGAACGGAGAGAAAAG